TTTACCTCAAAAAAACAACTGAGAATCAGTGGCATAGGCCCAAAGCTTTGCCACTACAGTGAAAGAATCCTCCACAGCATAAGCTCATCAAGGGCATTTCAGTCTTCCAAAACGCCGCTAAGCAATCCCATCAAATCAGCTGCAAGCAGCAACTATCTACAGCTGTGAAAGTTCAAGTCACTATATCTTTGTGACTCAAAGCTGAGTAAGGATAGTACTTCATTCCTGTGGTAAATCTGTTTTCTAATATAATTGATATTTTTTTCAGAAGAGCTTTAACTCATGGTGTTTGGACATAGCTTGTAGCCTAGTGGGTCTCTGAGCCCAGATAAGCCTTACAGCAATGGTTGCAATACAAATGATAATATCTATTTCTGTTATTGCCCTTACACACCTCAAAAGCTGTCTGCATTACTGAGATAATTTTGCTTGATTTGATTCTACCTGGTGCAGCATGAACAATCAATGCTGTGACAGGAGAGAGGAAGCTGCTGCAAACCCCTAGGCGAGAGCTGCAAAGACTTGGAAAACACTGATGAAGTGTGGCCTGATTGCTTCACTTTAAAAATGTTGTGTGGTTTTTTTTTACTATTAATCTTGGAAAACCTCCAAAATAAGCTTGACAAAGTCCTGAGCATCACAAAAGATGCATTCTTCCTCATACCTGTAAATCATCTTTGGCAGACTTCTCAATTTTAGTAATTATAGACTCCCCCAAGTCCCCCACACATAGCACAGAGATATAAGGCTTTGAGTGTGCTGTCTTCTGTTCATAACTCAGAAAATTACAGCAAGTTATTTCATGAACCACATATTAGACACTAGAGCAATTCAATACTGAAATACTGTTTAGGTCTCTGTATGGTTTACTTAACGGATGTTGCGTTGCTGATCTATTTTTACGTACTGGTATAGTGCCTAGAGGCCCCCGTCAGGGGCAGGACCCCATAGTGCTACACGCATCATGAAGAGGGATGAGAAAGGCCCACCTCCCAGCAGTTTATAATCCAAATATATAACGAATGACACCAGATGGATAAAACAGTCAGTGGGAGCAGAAGGTGAGAGAGTTATGAATAGGATAAGTAATGGGCAGAGCACAGCAGCTATTTAGCTAAATATAGGCAGCCCTGTCACTGTTGTCTGTTTTCTCGCTGTTCTCCATATTGTGTTTTACAGCCACTTGCTGTGACGAGTGGATGAACGGGGCTTTACCCTGTGAACACTTAGGCATAGCGTCGTCCCCCTTGTGTCTGAAGCGCTGGGCTCTTGGAAGTGCCTTTCACTGCCCACGTTAGGCCACTAGGTGAGATTCAGAGGACATAAGCCAGCAGAAGGAAGTGGGTACCTACAAAGGGTGACTCAGCGCCCCTGAAGTAGGTGCTTACGGTGTGAATTCACAAGGTTGGAATCACAGGAAAGATCAGGGCTCCTGAGTGTTTAGAGAGCCCAGAAATAAACTGGTCTTGGTGTAAATCATATAATGTCCATCTGTATTCCCTCACGTCTTAACTGTCAGGCTTTAGGTGCCTCAGCCATGTTCCCTCAGCAGCAGGAACAACCTTGAGTCCTAACAGCACCTAGTAACGTAATGCCTAGTTCATGCCTAGGCTCTCTCAGGAACCAAGGTGGGCACATCTCCCACCCAACTCACCGGCTGAGTCTTGCTGAGGTTGAAGATGGCTAGAGACATTTGCAATGGGCTCATACGTTCATAGCCTTGCAATCCAAAGACTCCTCTCGAATGTGAGAGTTCTTATTTCATGTCCTTCCTTTACTCTAGAGGACGTGAGTCAGGAGTGCTCCACACCTGGCAAAGGCCCCTGCAGCTTTTCAAACCCTTCTGCGAACTGTAAATCATCCTCTAAACATTAAGCGCACCTCTGATTTCTTGATGATGCAAGGCCTGAAGCAATAGGTCTTCCAGGTCAGTGAAAAGCAATAAAATCAAATTCCTGGAAAAAAAAAATATTTTACTGTTCTGAATTCAGCCTACTCTGACACTCTTTATCGTAAGTTTAGTCTGATATCATAAGTATCCACAGGGTATCTGACACCAGATCCCTATCCCTGAAGGGGCTGGTTGCTCTCTCGTCCCTGCTTCTTCACTAATAGTTGAGCCAGCAGGTAGGGGCCTGAGCAGCAAAGGGACTCTCTCCTTCCCTTCCCTGCAGAGCCAGTGAAGTAGCCAAGTGACAAACACTTGTGAGGAAAATGAGAGTCCAGCTGTGTGAAGACGAACTCTGTCAAGGCTGGAGGTGGGACCTTCCAAAATAACAGGGACAAAGCATGAAAGCAAGCATTTTCTTTGAAGAGTGCAAACCCAAAAGAACAAACTAGTCACAAAGGGAGATTGCTGTCCCACAGAGTAACGAATATAATAATACAAGGGAGGACTCTACCACTGAGCTACGTCTACAGAAGGGTAAACTAATTAAGCTCATCTTTCTTTGAAATGCAAACTTGTGCAATTGCATGGGTTAGCAAGGGCCTCAGATGGGTCATCTCAGTGTCCTTCACCAGCCTTTATTGCTCAGCCTTCCCTTACAGCCTCACCATCCTACAGCTGCTTTGCACATGGACCTCCAGCAACTCTGATGGAAGTTCCCAGCATTTCTGTAGCTCTCCACCATATAATTTTCATTTTCCTATTTTTTTTTTAAACTCATACTGCCCATAACTGTAATTTCTGTGAGGATCAGTCATTGTTCAGTAGAGAGCTACCAGCTAGAGGCAGCAGACTGTTCCAGCTAGCATGTGGCCATATTATTTAAGAAAAAGATATTAGAAAAAGATTTCCAAAAGAGCTCAGCTCCCACGGAATTACTAAGGCCTAGATTTTTCAAATATAGTATTACACAACATGTAGACCTTAATAGATACAGTATTTCTTACTAGTACTTGCACTGTAGAAATTTGCTGGGATGTTGCTAGTCTGCACAGAAGAACTGTGAAACAGAATTTGAAGGAGGCTCTATCAGGTTGCTAATTTTTCATAAAGGACTTCCTGAACTTCTAATAAGATGTAACAAGAAAAATACAAGTTCTTTGAGGTGGTTTCTGAAATTTGTTGAGAGAACATTTCAGAAAACACTCTCACTAAAAGCTCTCCCCCCGCCTCCCTTAAAATCAGCCTGAGTTAATTCTATTTCATCCTTAAGATAGCACTCATCTTGCCTAGCTTTAGCTGTCTAAAATACAAGCATTGTCTTGGCTCCCTCCAGAGAGGGTGGAGACAGGCACTGCTGGGGTGAATTCATCCCCCGCTTCAGATAGCTATCTCTGAGTGGGATGCACTACCCTTAAGAACACCTTATCTCTCTGTACTTAATACAGAGGAAGCTTAGCTGACCCCTTACACTATAGACAGGTGAAATAAATCCTATCTTGATTGTATTTTCTTTTCTATTCAGTATACTTCCATGGCTTGCATTATCACAACTGCTGAATGCCCATGTATTCTGAATCCATCATTCTCATGCTTCTAATACATAGGGTAGTTTTATACCCATTTACAGACATGTAGCTGAGGCAGGTAAATGTCAAGATCCAGAAAAGGTATTTAGCAAGTTAGTTGTCTAAATTAGATGGTGTGCAATCTCATCTGACTAACAGCTACTGACATAGACAAAGAAGTAGCAGTTGGGTGCCTGTCTGTAGGAATTTGCTAGGATCTAAGCATAAATGGTTTGCCCAGGGACATATATCATGGATTTAACATGAGGTCTCCTGAGCTGATAGCCTAACCTTACCATTAGGAAAATCCTCTGCTGTTTTTTGGAATTAAATTTTGAAGTATTTACAGTCATGTCGTCGTCTTTGTTGAACTCAGACAAGCTATGGACGCTCAAATCCTTTAATTTTTCCTCGTAAATCTAATCTGACTCAAATCCTCCCTTCTCATTTTATTGCTCTTCTCTGAGCTCTTCTCCGATAGTAACTTACCAGTTAGCAAAATGAGGCCATAATCTCAGGTTCGATTTTTAGGTCTTGCTGTGATACAAATAAACACATGAACATCAGCATAAGGGTTGATATTCAGTGAAAATATTACATTCACTTCAATGAGCGCCGAGCCCTGGTACATAGCATTTGGGCTCTCTGTATCTCAGTACGGTGCACAGACACTGTTGCACTTGTGGAAATAACTGTCCAAGATCTTAAAATTGAAATACTTAAGGCTTCTCAACATGAGAGAGTCATGGAGGGGATCAGCAGCATGCTGACTACCCTGAGTCACTTTCCATAAAAGTGTATATTAGAAGCCTTTTAACTAGAGAAGTAGCATACTTTACTTTGAAAGCAGATGTAGTATGTACACCCCAAGACTGGTCATGCAGCGAGTTAGTGTAAAGACACCGCTCTGTGCCCTGTTCTTCTAGTTGAGCAGAATGCTGACTTCTGCATGTAGACAAACCTTATCAGACCGGAGCAGGCTTCAGTATTAGGCGATATCTATTTCTTAGAATAATCTTGGGGAAAACTACTGAACTCTAAGCATGTCCTCTGACCTCACTGGGACTTCTACCTGGGCATCCCAAAGCAGAATTTGGTGCAATTAATGTAAAGTAAGATGAGCTGATTTATAAATTAGGCTGCTTTTCTTTTTTTCTTTTTTTTTTTTTTAATGCTTTTGATATGGTGGAACAGAAAAACAAGTTTCCATAGGGAGACAGGTGACAATCTCACACTATCCAAGTAAATGACGAGTTTAAAACACTATTTCTAATGCTATACAAGTGCATTTTTCCCTTTTCAGGCCAGCAGCCTCGATCTCTAAACCACCCCCAATCACCCTATATTGATTTTGAATAGTCATCAAAGCACATCCACATTTGTTTCCAGAAACTTTAAGCACAGAATATGATCAGTTTGTGGGAAACATACAGGCAAAGTAACACACAACTTTCAGGCAAGATGTTTAAACAGCTGTGAAAGGTTCTTCACATTGCAGAGGGACATTTGATCAACTCCTATATTAAACAGACCACAGAACTTACCTGGTTACCCTTATACTGAATCCAGTAGCTTGTCTGCAGACTAGCACATATTTTCCAGATAAGACTCGCTATCTGTGGACATCAACAAATGGAGATTCTGCTACTGTCTTAATAAAAATGACTTGTCCGTGTTTTCCAGTATCTTTTCCATCCAATTGCTTTACCTGTCATCTGAAATTGGAAAAAAAAATAAACCTCCTACACTGAAATGAGAAAGTTTTTGCCAGACAACCCAGCTTCCGAACAAGGAAAGACAATTGTCCTATATCAGGGTTTCCAAGCTACGTTTTGTGAACTGCAAGTGAAGCACACTACTTCAAAGCTGAATACAAATCAGAAAATCCCACCTGTCACATCTCTCTACAGGGGGTGAAGTATAAGTACTTACATAGCAAACACTGCTGAAAACTCAAATGCCTTTTTGGTACTTTCTCTTAGCCTAATAGAAAAGCAGGACATGGAAATGACACCAGAAAGGGGTGGGGGAGGGAGTGGATATCACCACCCTGAGACCGTATCTTCAACTTGAGCACGTTGGGGAAAACAGGAGCTCTGAGCAGTTGTTACTGCCTCCACAGTATGACAGAGCTTGATTTCAGAGAGGTGGTACGCAAGCAGGCCAAGTCTGAGAAGTTTTCCATGAGGCGGTATATTTGAAGCTCAGATTAGACCCCATCAGGTGTATCTAATAAAGCTATCTGGACTTTGAGCAAAAACGCTACTAATTTCTATGCGGAGACACCGGAGACACTGACTGAGGATCCTGGTCCATCTGAACGTAACACCTTGCAGGACCCTGTAGAACAACTATAAGTTATATAGAATAACTTTTGTTTCCACAGATGTCACTCACGATTTCCTCTACCCACTGCCAGCACCATTTCAACTTTTCTAACCACTTGTGCTCACACCTTTCTCTCCTGTGGCTGAAAGATGAATGAGGAGAGAGGCACAATTTAAAAGGGTCATGCCTTCCAAGCATCAAAATGTTGTTTTGTTGAGAAAAGAATGAAAACAAACAGACAATAGGGATAACACAGTGCCTATTGTGAGACCTTGTGAGATTCCCCCAAGGGCATCACAAAGGACTGTGGTATTCTCTGCTGATGCTTGCACCAAAGATAGCAATGCTACTTATGCTCAGAGTCACTGTGTCCCAGTTTTTCTGGCCTCACTTACAATTCCACTTACACGGATGAGTATAACATTTTATAGACAGATACTTTTATCTTGGAGGTGTCAGATCTCACTTTCTTTTGCGGCATGTGAATCCCTGAACAGAAAACGATCATACTGAACCCAAACACATGCCAAAATGCTCTTCTCAAATCACTTTAATGGTATTTACCTTGCTTGCAGGGAAGAAGAGAACAGAAAGGACGAAAAGGAATTTTTTTTTTCTCCTGTCACTCATTAAGGCAGATATTATTAAAACAGTGTGATAAACTAGGATAAAAATATAAGTACACACTTGTCTGTACTAAGAAAATTACTATGCACTATTTCAGCCCAGATTAACTGTAGTAGAGGTGTACCAGTGAGATCAGTGGTGTAAATGCCATCGCAAAGAAAGGCTTTTTTTTTACCATTCTCATGAAAATCTGACACTAGACCCAAAACTGTCTATTTCTGAGTTGTCTCCCTTATAACAGCTTAACACCACACATGCAAGACCACTACTGAGCGCGGCACCGTTAGGGAGTGGAGCTTTCCCTTCATGCCTGGACTGTTACTAGGATTTAACAGGATACAGCATAACTGTGCCTACAGTTTTTACTAGAGCACTGAAAGAGAGTTAAATTGTAATAGCAGAAGGTGACAACATTTAGGAGCGGGGGAAGAAGATGAAGGCTGGGGCGAGGTGTACTGCGGCTTGAAGCTACCTGGAGAACTGCTGCAGCAAAAACATGAGGACGGGTAAATTCATCTAGAAGAGGTAAATCACCGTGCCACTGGAGGACACGCTGGCAGTCACCGTGGGCTCAGCACAGTGGAAGAGCCAGAGATAAAGCAAGAACATGCTGAGAATATGATAACTTTGGTGTGTGGTGTCCTTTTTTTTTTTTTTTTTTTTTACTTTTTCTTCCCTCTATGACACCAGACATTTGGGACTAAGGGAAACAATCTCCCTGCACTGCTCACTGCCACCACTTCCAGCTTCTCTCTCAGGCTGTGAAAAGGTACAGAAACTGGTATCTGAGCTTCCAGCAGTGTTTTGTGCGTAAGTATTTATCCTGCATCCTTACACATCGCTGTACAATAACAAATTTAAAAAAGAGAGAGAAAAGCTGTCGTCACTGTAGGAGCCAAAGCACAGTAATTTGTCTATACATCCAGTACCATAACATTTGATTTTAAGAACCAGCGAGGAAATTGATCTCTGTGTTTCGTTGCAGCACTCATGCTGCCACTTAGGGAAGTAATGAGCTGTAGCAAATACACAGGAAGCAAAGAGTGCAGGAGCTTTGGGCGTGTGAGCATAGCGCAATATTGATCTGTACTTGCAAGTATAAATCTCTTTGAAAATTCCTTTTTTTTTAACTCCCCTCTCTACAGGGATACCTTAATAACAGAGGTCTATCATTTCCCTCCTCACAGACTTTGTGAGTGAGTTTAAGCAGTCTTCACCCTGCACTTGTCTATAATGATTTTCTCCAAAGGTGGAAAGTCTTCCCATAAGAAAACTAACCTAATTTCACTGAAAGGTGTTCATGCAGTCTGGGTATCATATTGGGTAAGATATTTCTTTACTATAAATTTACTTTTACCTTTTTCTAGCTGAGGCAGCTTTAAAAGATAATATATGTCTGCTTTTTGTATATGTCACTAGAGACTACAACCACAAGAATAAACCTATACACTGCAAGCAATATTACCCAGGACGCTCGTCTTAAAAAGCTAGGCCTCAAGGAACAGCAGAAGTAAATGCACCCTTTCTTTTAGAAAGAGAGCTTAAAAGACCCTCAGACCTGCACAATGTTAGTAACTCACTTGGATGAATCAATTCTCTCATTTTTTCCTCAATTAGCTGGGACCAGCCTTCCAAATATCACTTCCAGTCAGCCTTGCCTTAAAGCCTTTAAAACTTTGAGTTCAATTTAAAAAATAATAAATTGAGTCTTAAAATAAACACCTTGGATTTCTTCAGGTCTGAGAAAACCTCAGTTCTGACAGCGCTATATACTCTATAAGACATCAGATAAACAGACCACAATGATTCAGTCAGTAGTTATGTAAAGCATCCTTGTCTATTAAAATTGTTTTACCCAAAAGATCAAATTCATAACAGAGATTTATGATGCTAACTGCCTCTTTAGCCAGCCAGGTCCAGTACTAGAGACCAGCCTAAGAAACTGCCCTTTGCTGTTACTGAGACCTGGTATGTAGTCAAACCTCCTTGACAACACGTTCCCCTTGGCACGCAGGCTCCAGCTCTTGGGTGCACATACGGCAAAGTCGTGGTTATCCTAAGAAGCTCAGTGCTTGTGGCATTCAGACAACAGGCCTTGCTCTGCCCAACTTCCTTGCAAAACCCAGGTGGGTTAGGCATGCTCAAAGCATGCCTCGTTCTCCCACAAACTGAACTTAGAAGAGGATCTCCCAACCTCCTTCATCCAGTAGTTCCGAGTTTAGAGCTCTCCCTCAGGAACAGGTAAGGCTGGACCTGTATTCTAAGGATTAATTCAATATTTAGTTCTGTATCAAACAGTAGATATCAACACCAATACCAAAATATTAACAGGAGCAGATCCAGGAAGAGAAATCTTTTGGATGCTCTCACCACTGGGCCATACAGCTGCCTTCTGTTGAGCCACTCATAACGAACTGCTCACAGAAAAGAACTGCAGCGACTGTGAAAGCCAGACTCCAAAATACTCAACAGCACCATGGCTCAGACATACTCTTGCAAATCACAGTTTCAGGTCACCTCAGAGAAAAGCAAGCATGTGAACTGCTACAATATATGCTTAAAATGTGCATACATATACATACACACACACACACACACACACGCACACGTATATACATGTATTATATGTGTGTGGGTACATATTTTTTTTTGAAACAAAGAAAAGGACTGACTCTACATAGACGCCTATCTGCTGGGAGAGCTCATAACTGAGGATCCTGAATAGCAGCCTTCTGCCAAGACTTCTGGCTTTTAGGGATCCCATCTTAACCACCTGCCTTACTCAGTCACCGCTTGAGGAGCAACAGCACTTGCTTACTAGCTCCTCTGTACAGCTCTACTCCCCAAAATGCTTTCAGAGTACACTGAAAGATTTGCTGGCTACTTCTAAAGGCATATGACAGCCCTTAGCTATTATAAATCACTCCAGTAAATCCAATTAAGCTTCTCTAATTTACACCAACTACAGATGCAGCTTGTTATATCTTGAATCTTTGCAGCATAGCAATTGTTCTATGCTACCATCATTCCCTCCGAGACCGCAGTTTTATCTACAAGCTCTAGCATAAGTTCACCCCTCCTCTCCAGAGTACATCATACTAATGGGAAATACACTGTGGCTTGCACCAAATTAAAAAAAAAACACTCCTCTCTGGATGGTTTTCCTGTAACTAACATGATCTTTATCAACCTCCTCACCCAAGACTATTTTAGTGGAATCCCACCCAGAAACTCTGTTTTCTTAAGTTATAACTCTGAACCAAAGTCACGCAGATTTAGAAATCCATTGGCAAACAGCACTTTACAAAAATTGTGTGTTAAATTTGGAGTTTAGGAAAGGAATGGAGGTAATAAAGATATCTGGGGTTTCTGTTCCTTTGAATTAATCTGTTCCTGCAACTTAATGACTTGCAATATTTTGCTGTCAGATAGCTCCTTTCACCTGGGGGACAACAGCTGTCTTCACTGTTAACGTGCTCAGATATGTGCAGCTCAGGTAAAAATTAGTATGCCTGTTCCACAAATGAATACATTGAAATATCTTTTCTCCTTCTTGGTAAACCTGTGTTTCTACATAGTATTTCTAACAGATATTTTCTAAGATAAGGACTTCTACTCCAGCTGTAACAAAAAGGTTTGCAGCCTCCAATTCAAAATATTACAAGGCTCAATGGATCCAAGAATTGCAGATTTTTTTCCATGTGGAGACTTTGTGCCTCCGGAAAATCCTCTAACTTCCTTGTAACATACTTCCCCAGAA